CCGTCTTCAGTCCTCTGCTGCTCTTGCCTTGTGCGGCGGCTCCCCCAAGGGAAAGGAAGCAGCTCCCTGCTGTGCGGCGGCTCCCCTTCCGGAGAGGAAGAAGAAGACCCTCGACTTCAGCCCTTCGTTCCTCTTTTTAATGCTTTTGTCTTCGGCAATTACTAAAATGGGCACAAGTTTGCCTTTGCCAACAATGCCCCTGGGATAAGCTCTGTGCCTTAGACTTCTTTTCTATCAAATTGGCACTTGTTATCATATTTTCGTTCTACTCCCTGAAATATATGCCAAACACTAAAAATGAGTAGAATCCAGCAATTAATCCACATCGGGTCAGGTAATAGGGAAAATTAATAATAAAATAAATGATAAAATTACACCCTATCAATAGCTGCCTGAACAACTGTTCATGCAAAGCAGCTCTATTTGCATACGATGGCAATGGTACTTCAGAAGGAGGTTGTTTATTACTGAATGAAGTATTCTCTATCATCAATAACGAGAATCACGCAGTATCAGTTCACAACACAACCCTGTTTGTTAAGGTTTCTAGCGTCAAGAATTCAAGGCACAGCAAAGTTATGTTGGTATTGACTCTAGGAGCTTTTTCTGCTTCGCTTTGCGTTGTTGGGTGTTGCCTCTTTCTTTTCAGGAAAAGATTAAAAGAACTGAAGGAAATCGAAATGGATTTGCTTGACCACTTACCAGGAATGCCTACAAGATACTCGTATGAGATGTTGAAAAAAATGACAGAAAATTTCAGCAGGAAACTTGGGCAAGGAGGATTTGGTTCTGTCTACGAAGGAATACTTGACAATGGCACCAAAATAGCGGTTAAATACCTTGATGGTTTTGGCCAGGTGAAGTATTCATTTTTAGTGGAAGCAAACACAATAGGTAGCATCCACCATATTAATTTGGTGAAACTTGTTGGATATTGCTCTGAAAAGTCACATAGGCTGCTGGTTTATGAATACATGGCTAATGGATCTCTTGATACCTGGATATTTGGTGGAACAGAAAAATCTCCTCTTCCATGGCATACAAGAAGAAAAATCATCTTGGACATTGCTAAGGGATTAGCTTATCTCCATGAAGAATGCTGTCAGAAAATAATCCACTTTGATGTAAAACCCCAAAACGTTCTCTTAGATCAAAATTTCAATGCAAAAGTTTCTGATTTTGGATTGTCAAAGCTTCTTGAAAAGGATCAAAGTAGAGTTGTTACAAGGATGAGAGGAACGCCGGGTTACTTGGCTCCCGAATGGCTGCACTCTGCAGGTATGACAGAAAAAGTTGATGTTTACAGCTTTGGCGTTGTCATCATGGAGATCATCTGTGGGAGGAAGAATGTGGATTGGTCCATGACTGGAGAGAATAGCCATCTGCTCAGTCTTTTCAAGAGAAAAGCACTAGAAGAGAGGCTTCAGGACATTGTTGACAAGAAAAGTGAGGATATGCTGACCCACATGGAGGAAGCTATTGATGTGATGAAGATTGGTGCATGGTGTCTGCAGAGTGATTTCACCAAGAGGCCTTCAATGTCATTAGTAGTTAAAGCATTGGAGGGTGTAGTAGCAGCTGAAACCAATTTAAACTTCGACTTCACAAATTCATCGGTAGTTAATATGGTGGCAACTGCTGATCAAGAACAGGAAGCTGTTGATGATGCTAGCCCATTGTTGCCTTCAGTTTTATCTGGACCGAGGTAGGCGAGAGAACTCAAGCAGCTGTGATCTTTAGGCTAAAAACCCTGCAGTTTGTAGTGTAATGTACTTGTACGGATTTTGGCTTCAATGAAATGACAAAACTGCAGTTTGCCAATTGCTGCCATCCGAACAGCATGGGGAGGCAAATGTAATTCAGCTTATACTGTATGTATTGACATTTGATGATACAAAAAGCAAGTACAATTCACTTTTTCCTTTTCTTTTTTTTTTTTCTTTACCAAGAACTCAGGCTATCATCCAAAATGAGATATGATTTTGGTTCTAAAATGGTCACATAAATAGCTAAATTATAATATATTCTCTTTTGAGGACATGTAAGAGCAAACTAAATGATGCTTGCTGCAACTTTAAATTACTTTCCCATCCAAACTTGAGATATAGCAAATGTAGATTTATTTTAGTCATCAAATTTATCATCACAAATTTTAATGCTTTCATAAGTCTCCATGACAATCTAATCTAAATGTCCAGGAGGCAGAGTAATTTAATGAGACGGATTTATTGAAATTAATTATTCCTTACAAAGATGGCAAAACGGTCTAGGAAGAAGTCTGAACATAAATCAGAACTCAAAATGCCTCCATCAAAGTAGCATCCATAACAAACAAATGATTGTTGGTTGGAAAAAAAACAATAATAATAAACTGAGGTTATCAAACCTCCAACAAATGAGGAACATCACCTGATAAATGTTGCAGAAGTGCACAATAAGAACAAAATCCCTTATCCACAAAACAGCAAGGATGATAAATGTTAAGCAGATTTTCCTGAAAACTATTATTACCTTCAACTATTGGCATATGGTCCAGTTTAATTTTTTTTCTTTTGTCCTACATTCAGCTTGGACTTAAAACTAGAAATCAAAGTAAAACTGAACTTGAAGTGACTGAATGTTGACAAGTTGTCAGCCCGTGCAATAATAAAAACCTGCTCAACTAAAATTAATTTTTGTAAATAGTAGTAAGCAGGGTCGAATCCACAGGAACTGGAAGTAACTGTTTCTTTTCAAATTCACAGTAATAAGGGGATGTTTTTGTGCAGAAGATGACAATTAAAGAAATTCAAATAAAATCTAAGAAGCTACTAAAAATTAAATAATAATTTACTAAAATCAGATGAGTGATAATTAAGGGTCTAGCCAAGAAATAACTTCAGCAATGGTTCACCTAATTGATCATCGATATAAAGATAATTCCAATTATTTACTAATAAATAGGTTATAACTGTCAAACAAGCGATGACAGTCAACTCTTCCTCACTGTATCGATGATTAAGGTACACCCGTTAATCACTACTCTAATTAAGAAATAATTTTAGGTACGCCTATAAGATTTAATTCTCTAATTGCCTTACGTATTAGAGGAGCCCTATTCTAATCAAATAACGCACTATCAGGGTTATTTTAGATTAGCCTACGTATTCCCCTGACACAAATCTAATCATGCCAGTTGTCACTATTTCAAGGCAATTAAACAATTACGGATTTAACACCTTAATTGACAATAGATTACCCAATCAACTAATTATCCAGATCTAAGACAATCAATTAATTTGACAATCATAATCACTATAATCAGAGAATATGTGAATACTAATAAATAAAAGAAAAAGATAAAATTAAATTGATCTTATAATTTTGAGACGAACCAAAGCCTCCATTGTTTCTTGATTAAAAAAGGGGATTTAGTTCATTCTTGATAAGAGAGACCCATATAAAATTGAAGAGAAAGTAGCGGGCATTGTCCTTTGAAATTGGGAAAACTCTATTCGTCCGAAGTAGTGATACGAAGAAGGATTCGGAATTGACATACACAGAAGGAAAAGAAATTACTAATAACCAAAGAAAAGTCAAAGAGCAAAAAGCAAAGAAAAAAGAATCATCCAATGCATTCACGAAGGAAGCAACAACCACTAAAAGTCTCCACTACCAAAAGCTAAAAAGGAAAAGTGAAAGGCTAATCTAAAGTACTCATACCAGTTCTCTCCTCTATTTCCTCCTTCTATCTAATGCCTGGCCACCGTGCGGCGGCTCCCACCGAGAGGAAGAAAGAAGTTCCAGCCATTCGTTCCTTTTCCTCTTTTATACTGTCTTCCGTAAATTATAAAAAAGGGTCGCGTCTTCTTGTTCCAAAATTGTTTCTGAATGCCTACTACTCGAGTTCTTTCTGCTAAATTGACACTTGTTACGATGTTTTCGATCAAATCCCTGAAATAAATGTAAATGGTCAAAAGTGAGTAGAATCTAATAATTAATTCATATCAAATCAAGTAATAAGAAAAATTAATAATAAAATAAATAATAAAATTGCAACCTGTGCAATTCTTCATAATTTCTTATCCATGTGAACAGCATTCTTCATTATTGCTGTGGCTGTCTCAGAAGCAACGGTCATCGTTTCATATTGGTGTCAATGGATGGTATTTATAATGAAGAATTTCAAGAAAATGGTTGATAAGAATAGACTATGCTTATCAACCTCTCCCACCCCTAGATTAAAGAAAGAAAAAGGGCAAAAAATCTTAATGGCAAAATTTCTATTTTAGAATATTTTATGAATTAAACTCCTCTAGTTCCATTTTCAACCAGAATTCGTTGAATCCAATCTAGCTTTTCTCTTTTTTGTAATTTTTTTTCAACTCTACTTTTGTGAAAACTGAATAACTTCCTACCGCATTGTAGCATAATTTGGTAGAGTAAAAACTCGTCCCTTTATTTTCTTCTGGGGTTGTAAGACGATTGAAAAGAATGGAGTCATATGATACATCTAGGCAGGATAAAACATTAAACCATAAAAAAATTATATGGTAAAATATAAAATCATAGAAATTTAAAATGTTATGCATATTATGTTTATATATTTTGATCACTTCACATATTTTAATTTTTAAAACAAGAGTAATTTTAATATTTTTATAGATTCTGTTATAAATAATCATTTTTTTTCATTTTGACACTTTAATCTATGAATTCAAGCTTTGACTCAACGAGCTTTCTAGTAGATGGATTGAGTTTCACTCATCTGCACCCCTACCATATGCTGGTGATTCACTTTTACAATACACTTACAAATTACTCCTCAGTAACTTCCCTTCAATACCTATTTATTTCTCCTGCAAGATTTTCATTTTCATTTTTATTTTTTTGAATTGCTAGTCTATATTTTTGACCTATTTATTAGAACTTTCTATCTTGTGACAGATAAGTATGATCTTGAATGAGGTTCTGAGCCTGTATCCACCAGGGTTGGTGCTTTCTCGAATGACTAACAAAGAAACTAAATTAAGGGAACTCATCTTACCAGCTGGAGTGCAGCTCTTATTGCCTGCTGTCATTCTACAACATGACACTAACTTTATGGGGTGAGGATGCAAAATAATTCAATCCAGAGAGATTTAGTGAAGGAGTTTTGAAGGCAACAAAAGGGCAGCTTGCTTATTTTCCATTCGGTTGGGGACCCTGGATTTGCCTTGGACAAAATTTTGCCATGTTAGAAGCAAAAATGGCACCGGCTATGATTTTACTGCACTTCTCTTTGGAGCTTTCTCCATTGTATGCACATGCTCCTCACACAATCATCGCTCTCCAACCACAATATGGTGCTCAGTTGATTTTGCGGAAACTCTAGTCTCTAAAAGTTACAATATACTCTTCTTCAGATATCAAAAGACAAAATCTTTTCTATTTTACTTCTTTTCTTTCTTTTTCTCGGTGTTTTCTTGTTTCAAATTTCTCTGCAGCAGCAGCTGCAGCTGAGTATCTCTTCAAAACCTTCAGGTTTTGCTCTTTTATTTCCTCTGTATCTACAATTGCACCGAAACATATATACATATACTTTCTAGAGTTGCCAAATTTATCCTTTTGTTCATTCGACTGGAACTTGCTGCCTAGCTGATTATATTTAATACTTGAAAACCCATGTTGAAAAACTCGATCTTTGTTGTTATTAATACGAATTACTGCATAAGAACTAGTTGAGCTGAATTTTTCTGGTAGATTGCGAAACTGAATTCCAAATAGGACTATAGTTGAAATTTAACAGTGGTAGATTGACTCTTGACTCCTGGTTGGTGGACTTTTTTCCATCAACAATTAAGCCAAAACAACAAAATATTTACATCTATGGTCTATGCCAGTTGCAGGCTTGCAGCACATCTGAGAGATCGCAAATATAGAATGCAGTCCTACTTTTTTCATTTTGTCCTTTTGAGAAGTATTCTCTGGTGTTTTTTCAATAGTTTATTCTCATTAAAGGCATACTGTATTTTTCTTTCCATCTTTTTTTTAAGTTTTTATTTCGTGTCATGATTCAGAAAGGTAAGATTAGCTTTTTTGAAATGGATTACATGGGTGGGACGGACGGAGTAATTTTTTTTTTTTGAAATGGATTAGGTGGGTGGGATGAAGACATTAGACATATTGTCTTTTGTTCTGGCCTGTTGGGTAATCTTTTCTCTAATAGTATATTCTCGTTAATAATAATATGCTGTCTTGATGCACGATCTCTCTTTGTTTTTTCGCCTTTTTCTTTTCTTTGTTTTTTGGTTCAATGTCATGACTCATGATGTTTGGCTGGTTGTCAGCAATTCTGACATGGATCATTGAATAAACCCAAAATAACTAAACTTATGCCTTCATCTCAGGATGGAGTAGTTAGAAGGTCAACATTGGTGAGCGGGTGCCTAATCCTCTGGATTATTTTTTACCCATAAAGTAACAAAACTAAACTTGTTTGTGATGATTGGCTGAAATTGGGGACATTGTCTGAATCATTAGTACTACTCTTAATTTTAATCTTCTGCTTTTCTTGAATGAATAGACATTGCTGTTTCTTTCTTGGCTTTCTGGAGGCGAGGTTTCTTTAGTTCTGATACTCTTACCACCTGCATAGAATTTTGAGAGTGAAAGGAAGATCGCTGTTAAGAAATACAGAGATGGCAAGCACATTACGTGAGGTTTCTATAGTAGTAGGTGATCTGGAGGTGCTCCAGAAGAACATCCAAACTGGATTTTCTCATCGCTTGTGTCAGGAAGTTAGGACCCTCAAGCTGAACTTGAAATTTCTGAAAACTTTTCTTATGTTAGCCTACAGAATTAAGTTGGCAAACATGGATATCAGTTTGGAATTTAATGATGTAAAGGAGGTGAGCCTTCAAAACTTTGTGTCTCGCATTGAGGATACTCTAAAGAAGCATGGGAAAGACACTCGCTCAATTCGTCAAAGCTCACAAATATCGTTTGCCCATTTGAGAGGCCTGGAGAAGAGTTTCGCAACTGTGATCATTAGTTTGTGGGATGACATCAAGCCCTTTATGCAAACAATCATCGAAGTTTATAGTGGTTTGTTGGACTTCTGGTCATGGGATAGCAACTCTTGCATGAGTGATGACCAACTTGTGGGCTTCATAGACTCTATTTTACAGAATCTACTTGATCTTCTCAGCGGTCAGTATTTCGAGTACAAGAAAGGTCAGAAAACTGCTTTCCATGCACAATTGGGTGAGAATAAGTCCCTCGAATGCAGTGAGAATCAAGGCAGTGAGAATGAGTCACTCGAAGGCAGTGAGGATTTTGAGTCTACAGAAGGTGACAACACTGCTTTGCAGGCACAAATTGAGGCCCTGAAACTTGAAGGTGGTGACAATGAGGGCCTCGAAGGAAGTGAAGATGATGAATGCAGTGAGGAACTAGAAATAGAGTCCACAGATGGTTACAACACTGCTTTGCACGCACAAATTGAGGCCCTCCAAGACAAGCTAATATTCTTGAAAAATTTAACCCGCTTTGCCAAGTCGCGAGGCGTTGAGCAAGGTATAATGGAAAATCTGTTGACTCACTGTCGAATTGCTGCTGTGTATGCAGCATTGTTCTCTTGCAGGTGTTTGTTTTACCAAGAAGATGAACAAGTGCGCAGTCCTGAGATGTGCTCATTGATTTCTGATCTAGTACAGAAGATTCAGCCTGTCAATCCCCTAGTCTGTGAGATCTATATCAAAGTCCTTAAACCTTCAAGATCCTCATCATCCTCACGTGGTAAGAAAATGGACAAGCGTATAATGCAAGACTTCAATGATTCTCTCATAAGTAGCATGTGGGACCTATTATGCAGTGGTACCAGCTTACCAGTTGCTGTGAAAGATCAAATGCAAACGCTCTACGCGGGACTGCGATTCTTCAGAAGCATTCTTAAGGAGCGGCGTCCGGAGATTGATGTGCTAAATAAAAAAATTGTAGCTGTTCTTGCTCAGGCAGGAATTCTAATCTGCTCGCTCTTTGTGGACAAAGTGCAGGACACAGATTGTTGTGCTAAGTTAGCTGATGCCAACAACAATATCAACCTTATCAAGGCTCAGATTAGCAGTTCAAGCTAGGCTTGATTCAGGGTCAAGTTCAACTCACACTGTGTTGAGTTCAGTGTAATTGTAAGCTAGCGTTTATTCAACATTTGTGAGCTACTTGTGAAAGCTGTAGCTGAGTTGCAATTTTATTTTGCGTGGTTGGTGGTAATGTTGTTAAATTATAAATGTTTGTTTTGTTTCCATTATTGTGGGTTATGACATTGTTAGTTGCAATCTCAATGGATCCTAAAAACTAAATAAAGACTTTAACTATAATTCAAGAAGTCCTAATCTTCTCATTCATTAAAAAAAAATTGGTGGAGGAAAGAATGAAGAAGTAGCATCTCTAGATTTAACCTTTTGGATTATCTTTTCTATATTGGTTTCCAGCACTATATCCTGTTGATGAGATAGTGTATTGGTGCGGGATGCCACCAATAACCAACGAATGGGAAGTGCTTTTTCTTGTATGGATCCTATTTCAATGGGAACTTGATGAGTCGATCCGCCTATGGAGCGTAAAACAAAAATATAGGTTGATGGGGTCGGAGCATACTATGTGTAATGATTCCACCTTTCACAAAATGAAAAGAAAAGCCATTCCATTTCGAGACAAACGACCAACAGAAATTGTATAATTTTTATTTCTTCATTATTCTTTGTTGCATGGAACTAACGAGTAACGAGTTGGTTCATCGAAATAAAATTATTCCTATAAGCTCACTCACAGGAATTCTTTAAAACAGAAAACTAAAGGCAAAAGGGGGATATTTCAACAGATCTAATTGATATTTTTCCAATTGCAGATAAACCTTCAGTCTTGTTATCCAGGAACTTGTTCAGAAATACTGAAATGAAAGGAATCTATCTTTTTCTGATGTCATGACTTATAATGGTTGGTTGATTTTCAGCAAGTTTAAGAAGGATTAGGTGGGTGGGACGAAGAAATCCTGTCTTTCTTTTGGCCTTTTGTGTAATCTTCTTCTGGAGTTGGTTTAGCACTAATACTGTATTCTTTTAAATGGGATCCTATGCCCGTGCAAGATCTCTTCTTGGGTTTTTTTTTTTTTCCCAATGCCATGACTCATGGTCGGCTGGTTTTATCAATTCTAAAATGGTTTATTGAATAAAACCAAAATAAATAAACTAAACTAATCTCTGCCTCTCGAATAGAGTGATCACGAGGTCCATACTGGTGAATGGCTGGCTACAAACTAGTCGGTATCATGTATGTGGATGGTTGGCATAATTAGCGAACATGGTCAGAATCTGTAGTTTCTTTTATCTCCCTCTTCATCTTTCTTGAATAAATATGCATGTATTTTCTGTTTTTGTATTGTCTTATGAATTCTGGAGGAGAGTTTTCTTTCTGCTATACTATGCCGGATTTGAACTAAAAGTTGTAGCTGTTATTTTTCTGGCAGGTGTTGTATGACTTCGCAGTGATCAGAGGTTCTCCTGATTGTTGTGTTCTGCTGGTTGATCGCTCATACCAGTAACAATATCAAGGCTCAGATCAGCAGTCTGGAGGTATCGCTTCATCATATCATATATAGCTTGGAAGGACAAGATATTCGCAAGACTTCCTGCCTTTCGTCATCAGAAGGTAAAATGGAAATAACCCCTGAAATTGTAGTTGGCTTTGATGATGAGGCAAAAGCATTAATCAATCGACTCATAAGAGGATCCCAGTTGGAAATTATTCCCATCGTGGGAATGGCTGGACTTGGTAAGACAACTTTGGCTAAAAAAGTTTACAATGCTCTTTCTAGTCAGCGCCAATTTCACATCCAACTTTGGTGTACTGTTTCTCAAGCATATAGCGTGAAAAATTTGTTACTTCAACTTTTGTGCTCTGATGGAGAACACTCTAGAAAAAATGAAGAGCTCGGAATTCTAGATGAAGACGAATTGCTTGATAAGCTCCGTAAAAAGTTGCTGGGAAATAAATATCTCGTTGTTTTTGATGATGTCTGGGATGACAGGGTATGGAATGACTTGAGACTTTCATTCCAAGGTGCCACGAAAGGAAGTAAAATCCTCTTCACGAGTCGAAATTCTAATGTGGCTTCACAGATTGAATATGGTGGGGAACCTCACAATCTTCGCCTACTCACTGATACACTGAGTTGGGAGTTACTGCAGAAGAAGGTGTTTGGAGAAAAGGAATGTCCTGAAGGACTGCTTAAAATTGGGAAGCAAATTGCCAAAAATTGCAAGGGATTACCTTTTTCAGTTGTTATCATTTCTGGAATTCTTGCAACTAAAGAATATGACCGTTGGGATGAAGTGGCTGTTTATGACACAGATGAGTGCACGAATATATTAGAGCTGAGTTACACGCATCTACCACCATATTTGAAGCCGTGTCTTCTTTATTTTGGAGCATTTCGAGAAGACCAAGAAATTCAATCCAAGAAACTAATGCAGTTATGGATTGCCGAAGGTTTTGTGCAATGTACAGATGCAAAATGATTGGAGGATTTAGCAGAAGAATACATGATGGACCTAATTGGCAGAAATTTAGTTATGGTGGCCAAACATAGATCCATAGGTGGAGTCAGAGCTTGCCACATTCATGATTTGTTACATAAGTATTGTATGGTCAAAGCCAAAGAAGAAAATTTTCTACAAGTGCTGCATGGGTATGATGAGCTTTCTACTTTCAATGTGCCCCCAGACCTCTCCAGATTGTCCGTTTGGTCTAAGGTTGAGCATTTTAAGGAGTCGAGGCTATTTTGTCCACAATTATCCACTCTGCTGTTTATTAATCTGATTAGAAATGACTCTGAGTCATTCTTGGCTGATGCCTCCTTTGTCTTCCAAATTTACAAAGGTCTTAGAGTCTTGGATATAGAGCAAATTGTTCTGCGGTACAAGGTTTTTCCAAGCGAGGTAGTATCGCTTGTTGGGCTGAGGTACTTGGCTATGCAAGGTGAGATGAGGGTCATCCCGCCCTCTATAGCCAAACTCTCAAATTTAGAAACTTTTCGCATGATATCTGATTACGGTATTGTTTCATTGCCAAGTACCTTGTGGAGCATGACCAAGTTGAGGCATCTACATATTGAGGGCTATGATGTCGTATGGTCTTTGCCAAGAGAAAATCTTGAGAACAATTCTGGCTTGCTTAATTTGGACACATTTTCCACCTTAAGAGTTTCTTTGGACCAAAGAGTGGAAAACATACTGAAAAATATTCCAAATGTGCGCCAGCTAAAAATCAAACTCTCGAAGGCAAAGAAATCTACGACTATAGGCTACTGCAACATGAGTGGACTAGAAAGTCTAGAATCACTCGAAGTGTGGGCAACGTCACTGCCACCGGATCGCGTTGAGTTCTCTTTCCCATCGACTTTAAAAAAGCTGGTCCTCATAGGATTGAACCTACCCTGGAGTAAAATTTCATTGATTGAGGAACTGCCCAATCTTGAGGTCCTGAAATTACTCTACGACTCCTTCAAGGGTGAAAGATGGGTCCTGACAGAAGGAGGGTTCCGCAAACTCAGGTTCTTGGCTTTGGAAAATTTGGATGTTGTCGAGTGGACAGACACAGATCCTGATGATCATTTCCCCTGTCTTCAGAAGTTGCTGATGTCAGGACTTTCTAAATTGGAACTGATGCCATCTTGTTTAGAGCAGATTTCAGCTCTTGAAGTGATTGAATTGCGAAGTTGTAAGGCCTCTGTTAAGGATTTGGTACAGAAAATTGAGGAGGAGCAAAAGGACTGTGGAAATGAAGATCTGAGGATCATCCCCTAGCCAGTGCACAGAATCTTATGGGGCCAGCTTCCGCATCAGATGTTGTGAGGTATGTCCCCCTGTCAATGTTGAATTAGGCAGTAGTAGATCGTTCAAATCTTTTCCAAATAGTTATTGGAGCATACTGATAATAAGCATTTAAATTAGATGAGGTAACTCTCAGATAGACATAGGTAAAAAATTGATCATGCAGTTAGGAAATTTGTTGACTGGAGGTATTTGTGTTAAGAAAAGTAGCTAATGCTTGTTTTATAACCAACATGCACTAAACATGGGATGGTTGCTGTAACATTTGTGATTCAACTCTTCAAATTCTGTGATGCATTGGATAAGATGGGAGAAAATGAGGCGTAATATGTTGCCTTGGCTGCTTTTGGAGAAAATACGGATTGTCTTTTACTCTGCAACTTTCTTTCTATCAGGTAATGCCTCAAGCAAATTCATCTGGCTAATTGTATTGACATAATGATAATCTAGTAGGCCTCGAGTAAACAGACATTTTGTGAACCATCAGCTTTGACGAAAGCGGAGATGAACCACATTTTGTTCTGCTGGTTGTAATTCTTAAATTTCTTCGCGTCGTGACCTTAATTCTTTATTGCTTTCTGTTAGAGCAGCATTACAGTGCTGAGCATTGGATTAGTGTTCTCAAAGTAAGTTCCCCAGATTCAAAGCTTTCTGCGGCTACTTCAGCAATCAGTCAGTTGTTGCTATGATTTTTGGTGGAGTTGCTCATCTGTGTGGCTTTCAGCACTTGTTAGGTGGTCGATGGTGTTCGTCAGTCTAGGTATGTTTGGTGGAGTTGCTTGTTAGTGTAATCTCGGACGGGCGATGGGCATGCCGAGAACCGCACTGGTGTCAAGATTTCCAGCACAAGCAAAGCAAGTACTACTTATTTCCTCTTGACAAGGAAGAGTAATTCGGTTGAAAGACGCAAAAATTGTTTGGGTAACATTTGCTGCTGAAGTTTGTGTGATTTTTGTGTCTTTTCTTTTCTTCTGTTGTGTGAATTTGCCTAGCAGGTGGAGTTATGAACGTGACTGTGTGTGTGAATGACATATTTGGAAGACCTGTACTTCATTGTCGACGTGAAATGTGTATGTTGTTTTTTTTCTCTTTTTGGGTACCGGACTTCACATCGTGACGCTGGAAGCATGTTCATGATTGCTGAGATCAATGGCCTAGGTGTCGAATCAGACTTTGAAACATTTAGAAGCATAATTATCTTTCCAAAAGTTTCCTCACTCAATCCAACGAACAACGCTTCAACTCCATGGGAGAAGGCCTCAGGCCATGTATCCTCTTCAAAGATAGCACATGAATTGGAACCATGGTCGACATTACTCCTCCGTGACATGATCCTCCGAGATAAGACATGACCCTCCAACAAAGTTTATTGTCGCAACACATGGAACTTGAGGGAAATTTTTGTGAGGTAAACAGGGATGACAGAGAGTAGGGTAAAATTCAATATTCCCGAGTAGTTGACCTGATGGTTAATTCGATTAGATGACTGAAAGATAATCCATTAATAGTTGATATTGATGAGAAATTATCAACAGATAATTCAATAGGATTTATATATATATAGGAATTAATATCTCTATAAAACTTGCTCATTCTCTTTAGGAAGCCTATTAAATTTACTCTTCATAAAATGTTCACTTTCTCTATGGCTCTACTCAAGTTTGAAATTCAATATAGTGTGTGGATTTGACATGATGTGTATTGATTTTCGTTTGATAAAAATTAATTCTCTTTTTTTGAGTAGTTCAGATTAATGAGTAGAGGATACCTAATAGATAATCCGAACCTGAAATGAAAGGGTTTGATAATGAGAATTAAAACCCATAAAATTACCGGATAGAATTTGATTTGGTACGTATCTAGAAGGGAAAATTAGGGCTGCAAACGAATCAAACCCATCATGAGAGGCTCAAGTTTGAGAGCTAACCAAGTCAAACTCGAATTCGAATTCAAAAATACTGAAATCATTAGCTTGCGAACCAACTCGAGCTCGATTATATATATATATATATATATATATATATATATATAATAGTAAAATTATATATATATTTCTAATATTTTCTTATTTATTAAAAAATTACTATTTTATTTATTTGTAAAAATAAAATAATTATTTTTTTATTTTTTTAAACTCGGGCTCGACTTCGAGTTCGAACTTTATATTTTGATTTTGTCGAGTTCGAATTCGAGTTTCATAAATCTAAATTAAGACTTGGATCGATTAACTCAAAATTCAATTCAACTCGTTTATACTCCTATTTCGGAAAACAATGAATAAATAAATAAAACCCAATCTAGAAGGATGGATCACGAAAGTACCAAAGAGAGCAAAAACTGGCTAGTCAATCGCCAACCTGCATGTGCATGGTACGGAGTAGTTGCCTTGTCTTTGTTATATCGTCATAGATGACGTCATCGCCGCTCCAGTCCAACTTAATAGTCTTTATTATTAATTATTACGACGTTATCACCATGACCTATGAGTCCTTTAGCCAACGGACGAGCGCACCTATACATTGTCCAAGAAAACGACTTGTCATTCTCTCTTTCTCTCCAGTCTGTAGTACTGATACAATCGAACGACTAAAGACCCAAAAGAAACTTAGTGATTAAGCAGAAGAGAATTCTATTATAGCCCATAATCTTCTTCTGATGAATTATTTATTTACAAGATCAAAGAGACATGGTGAAAAGGACTCATTCAGCAGTTAAAGATTTAAAGTTGAGATCCTAAAATTTAAAGATTTTGAGTTTTCATCCCCTCCGCCCTTTTCTCCTCCCTTATTTTTTAAATCTTACCCCTAACCTGTTAGGGGAAAAAAAATTACATTATTTATTCAAGTACCTAATAATTTCTTTTTGCTCAGTAAACATGAGTAGTCCTCTAAGGCATAAAATTACTATGTTGATTGGATCCTAATTTGGACTGAGTAGGATCAAATCAAGAATATTTATGTGAGCATTATATTATATCTTAAGAGTGCCAAAATTCACATCTCGTCATTTTTAATTAATTCACATCTGCCTTATATCTTATTAGTTAAATAAATTCTCTTAATACAGTAAATAAATGAAGATAATCATCTATGCCAATTCACCTCATAAGGGTTATAATATCAATGTCCATTTCAGTTTTGATTTTGATATTGATGGCAGTATCCTTCAAGCATACCTATGAGTAGGAAGGGTAAAGTGATCAAACTTATGTAGTTTAGTAATTAAAGGTGACATCCCCCAGCTTAACTACTAATTACATGCGGTTGCATATCAGTTCGAATCCTACTATGCTAAAACTGTTGTGTTGTTGAAATACCTTGAATCAGATCTTCGACTCCCGCTGAGTTGTTTTGGGTCTCGGTTTTTTGGACCTAATAGTCCAATCCGTTTTTGGTTATTTGATTGTATATATATATCTCTTATATCCATTCTGTACAAAAAAAAACATCTGATACATTCCGAACCCTAATAAAAATCTGATTTTTCCCAAATTTATTCTTGCTTGTTCTTGTTTGTTCTTTCCGTTCCGCTGCATCGGTTTCAACATGTGTATTCTTGGGTCTGCACAGTCGGAAAAACCGGAACACCTATTGTATTGATGGGGAAAAAAAAAGGGATTAGTCTGGCAAACAGGCCCTGTGTTGGCGAAATAAAAAAGATTATTCTAGCAAGACAAGAAAACCCCATGTGTTGACAAAGAAAAAAATAAAAGTACTTAAAATTCTTGGGTCTGTATGTTCGACAAAACTGGAACACCTACTGTATTGATAGAAGAAAAGAAAAGACGATTAGTCTGACAAACAGCCCCTTAGAAAACCCTCTCCTTCTTTAATTTCTTCACTTCAATTACTTCTCATCGAATAGAACGCCCTCTGTCTTCATCCTTCGAAAGTACAAACTTTAAGTAATAAAATACTCTTTGAACATAAACATTTACTCGGCGGTAGGTTGAAGGTTTAAATCTCAGCTGCAACAAAAAAAAAATTAAGAATTGTGTCAAAACATTCCTTTGATCTAATAAGATCTGTGTACCTACTAATAGATTCTTCTTCCCTGTAGTTTAGTATAAATAGATTATATAATAATTGTCGTCTCTAAAAAAAAAGTAAACATTTAATACTAGTTACATTACCGTAAATGTGAACTATATGCCGAATTAATTCGTCACTAATTTGTCAAGCAACCAGATATGTTTATTTTCAACTTTCTGTTAATCACCAACAAAAGTACAAACTACAGTAGCTTCGTGCAACGTGTAAACCAGAAAGAGAGCAAAAGAAAAAAAAAATTTTGGGTAAGAAAAAGAGAGAACAAGATGGCTGCCGTTTGTCATGAATTGTCCGCGCCACCAAGAAAACGCTGGTGAGACCGCTTGGAAGGTGAGTTTTTTTGGTATTTATCTAAAATTTTATTATAATTTATTATAAAAATTTTTAAAAAAAATTTTGAAGTATATTTTTTTTTAATATTTTAAAATGTATAATTTAAAAACTCTAAAATTTTTTTTGAAATTAGTGTAGTTAAAACTTTTAAAAAACTTACCGTCACACAGGTACTGTGCAGACGCAAGTGCCTTCACACAGGTACTTCAACACTTCCATTTTCCTACATCTATAAGCAGCAGTGCAGAAAACCCACAAGGAAGTGAAGAGATATGGAAATCCTATATAGCTTAGTTGCAGTATTATCTGCTTCTTTTCTTGTCATATTGTCATGGAGAATCTTAAACTGGGCTTGGTTCAAGCCGAAGAAGCTGGAGAAATGCCTCAGACAACAGGGTTTGAGGGGAAACTCTTACAATCTTGTGTTTGGAGACATGAAAGAGACTGTCAGGATGACCCAAGAAGCCAAGTCCAAACCCATGAACTTTACCAATGATATTGTCTCCAGAGTCATGCCGTTCATTGATAAAACCATCAAAACTTATGGTATGTTTTACTTGTAAATACAGCTATTTAAAGTTTATACTCATTTTCTCTTGAATTACTTGCTTTTCATCATCCAAGTATTAATTGGTTATAATTAGCCCTTTACTTGTTTTGTCACGGTTTGGCATCTGATAAGCTAGTGTATTTATGTTTTTCTCTCGAAGTACTAGTGAGTTATCCTAATTGATTGATGATGCTCAAACAACTGATTATCGAGGACTTTTTCTTTTCTGAAAATGTGGTGAAACATGTCCGTTTTGCACCTTGAAGGCCAATTTTATCTTTAGTAAATGGTTATGCTTCTTGATTAGTCTTCACTGTCATGTTTGGATTTGCCATGTAGGTGAAAATTCCTACACATGGACTGGACCAATGCCTGCAGTCCTGCTCATGTACCCTGAACATATAAAGGAGGTCATGAACAAAAGTTTCAATTATCTGAAGCCTCCTGGTAATCCACTAACTAAGCTACTTGCTACGGGACTTGCTAACTATGAAACTGATAAATGGTCCAAACACAGGAAGCTGATTAGTCCTGCTTTCCATCTAGAGAAAGTGAAGGTAATTGCTACTTTATCTAGTCCGTCTAAAAAAAAACATATACTTTTTGAATTTTCAGGATGCTACTGTTAAGGCTGTTTATTATGAGTTCAAGAATTGAAACAGTATTAAGTCTCTGTTTAAGATAAACATACTATTTGACCAAGGCTAATTGGCTTTCTTCTAATTGTTACTTCTAGTTCATGCTCCCGGCATTTCGTTTGAGTTGTTTTGAGATGGTGAGCAAATGGGAACAATTAGTCTCGGAAAAGGAATCCTGTGAATTGGATGTGTGGCCTGAGCTTCAAACTTTAACAAGTGATGTAATTTCAAGAACAGCATTTGGAAGCAACTATGAAGAAGGACAGAAGATTTTTGAACTTCAGAAAGAACAGGCTGAGCTGATCTTGCTAGCTGCGCAATCACCTTATGTTCCGGGATGGAGGTAAATTATCAGTGTTTAAATCTTTTATTTTGGTTGGTGTATCTCTTGATTTATTGTCTGTTTTTGAACAGGTTTGTGCCGACTAAGAGGAACAAAAGAATGAAGGGAATTGCGACAGAGGTTCGGTCATTAGTGATGGATATG